CTGCCTCCATCCCAGCCCCCACGACGGGACAAGCCGGGAATCTCGCTCCAAGGATGGAAAAGAACAGAATTAGCTCCAAAGCCCAGAGGAAACAAATGCAAACGGCAACAAGTCCTGCCGTCACGGGGCTGCTCCTCCAGCTCTTTACAGGATATCAACCCTCCAGCAGCAGATCCCGGCCAAGAGCTGACATGGATTTGTTTATATTTGTTGTGATTATACTGTTCACTTTAGTGCCATCATCAAACACTGGAAAAAATCAAGTGAGGGAGATGGGATCTCCATTAGGGCGAGCTGGAAACGAGGGCAGCCCCGGAGCCCACGGAGGCTCCTGGGGGCCAGGGGGGGACATACGCGACCCCGACCAGCTCTGAGCTTGGGCAGAGCCTGGTTACGGTGACACTGCCCTGGGTAACGGATAACAGGATGAGCCGAGAATGGGAATTGATTTCCATTCATTTCACCCAGGGCTGGGGCTGTCCTGCAGGCAAAGGATGAGACCAGAGCGCTGCGGCACCACGGGAGAGGAGCAGTTTAATAAACAACCATCAGAGGAGAGAGGAGCCAGCTCTAAAGAGAAGTTTAAGTAAAATAAGTACATTCCGTCATGAGTTTAAGAAAAACAAACAAAATACTGAAACACCCGCACTATAAAACTCAAGGGAAGGCACCAAGGTGCCTCCCAGCCTTAGGACCCGCGGCTCCGCGTCGGAAGGTAACGGAGATGCTCAGAGCCCTTCAAGTGCAGAGAAGGAACGAAATCCTGGGAAGTAAGAGGTTAGTATTTCACAAAAGTAATGGCAAAAGAAAAGATAATGTGTTTAATGCACTGTTTTTCTAACTGCGTTACTTGGACTGCTGTGATTAATGCCAGAGCTGCAGAAGGGCAATAAAGCCAATTTTGGCATCGTGTTTGGGGCATTGCTGTTACCGCCCTGAACTATCGCTCACTGCAGATGAGCTACAGGAGTAACGACGTGACACGGCCGGAGCAGTCATGATTCTGCAGATCATATGGAGTTTCAGAAAAGGCTCTTAAAAAAAAAAAAGTCACATTTTCTTCTAAAGGAACAAAAAATAGCAGAACTAGCTGAATGCTCTGTATGGGTTTTCCAAGCTCCACCAGGAAAGCTGCACAATTACCAGCCTTTCAGAACAGGAAGATTCTTCATGCAGGTCCAGTAATTCCAGCTCGGCCCAAGTCCTTCCCTCTCAGCAGATTGCAGGTGCCATCCTCACGCCGAAGGGCAGAAGAGCTTCCTTTGGGATGGCCTCTCCCGCCGGACGAGGGGGAAGATTCCCAGAACACGGAAGCACCACAGTGCGCTCTCACTGCGGGAGGAACGGGAAACGCGGAGGAAGGCGACGTGTCCCTGCCCTGGCGCATGAGGTCCCGGCGCGACCGGCTCCGCGAGCGGCTCTGCGCCCGCAGCCGCAGCCCCGGCATGGGAATGTTCGGGAGCACCGGGATCGGCCGGTCACAAAGGTGAGGAGTCCAAGCGCTCCTGGAAATCGGGGTATCACAGAGGCAGGAGAGGGGTGAGAAGCTCCAAGGAGACAAAGGCCGAGAAGCCTCAGGCAGCAGCAAGTAAAGGGAAGTGGGTTAGAAACACACTGGTTTCAATAAACTATTAAATTAAGGAAAGGACTCTTAAAAATATATATATAATTTATATTATATAAATTATGTTTGTCTTCTTTGTAACATTCTATTTTACCCGTGAAGCTCTGAGTGCCTCCGTGTGAATGAGGTAACGATTCAGTGGTTCGTTTCACGTCGGTTTTGTGTGAGGGACAAACTACTTCAGCTGAATTTCACACAGTGTAAACAAAGGGCTTGCAGACTGGCTGGGTAAAGCTTCGGTTAACCAAAGCCATTCCTGTGAGCAGGAGAGCTGGCGCTGCCGGGCAGAAGTTGGGATGAGAAGTTCGGGCTTCCTGCAGGAACGGGTCTGCTGGGCACAGGCAGTGTGGACGATCCAAGGAATGTGAAAATTTGGGGCATCACCACAAGAAGCTCAAGAAAACCGGAGGCACCGGCGGTCGGCGACAGGCTGCGTTCTCCAACCCTGCACTCGGATCCACATGAGCAGAGACGGTGTCCTCAGCTCGCCGGCGTAACCGGAGGATTTACTCTTGGTTCTGGGCACAGGAGCCGGGTACCAGGCAAGATCAACACTGAAAAACTCTGAATTCTTTCCTTTCAACAGCCACCTCCAACAACAGGGTCAGAAAACTGGTAAAAGGACATTTTTAGTCCAGCCCTGCCTAGGCAAGCCATGACCCTAAGCAGTTAATATCCAACAGGCTTTTAAGTGACTTTGGTGCAAGTCACTCGCGAGTGTTCAGCACTGCCCTGGCCTTTCTCCCCCCTGTTACCTGTCACAAATCCACGGAGAAAAGACACCGGTCAGATCTATACAGCTCTTACACACATCCCACTCTGAGGCAGGACTATTTTTGGCAATTGAATTTCAATTCCCTTAGCGACTAATTTCTTAAGTGTTCCTAATTTGGTCTCTGCTTCCCCAGTGGTCGCTCCCTGCCATCACTCCTGATCCCGTGCAAATGAGAACAAGCGTTTCCTGCGCACTTCGCAAACCTCCGTGCACCTACGACGACGCTTTCGCACACGTTTCTCTTAGCTTCTTCCACAACACTCGAGCTCAAGTATCTGCTGCTCTTTCTAAAGCGACCAGAACCCTGCAGCTGAGGCTGCAATTTCATTTTGCAATAAAATGAAAGCGTTTAGAGCAGGCTCAGAAATGCTACGTGGGCCAAACCTGTAAGGTCAAGTCAACTGTAAACATCATCGGGATCTTTTGGACTGAGCAAAACAAGCTACAGTTATTATCTGGTTTTAACATCAGATGGCAGCAGTTTGGGAAAAAAAAGCGCAAACAACCTGCTTTATAAAAGTGCTCAAGATAAACAGCTATTTCTCTGACCATTCTCAGGAAACTATGCTTTATCAAAGTGCTTAATAGAGTTTAGTTGTTTCTCCAACCTCTCAAGAAACTACATTTTCTAAATACTCTTTCCAGTTCCAGAAAGAGATGAAAAAAATATAATAATAAAAATGCCAACAAAACAAAACCCGCACACTTTTGAATTCCCCTCTGGAGGTAACTGCAGACAGAAGTTAGCTTGGTGTTCAATGAAAAACAAAAACAAGCCCAACCAGAAATACAAATGTTGCAGCCATCTAAACATTTGTAATTCAGATAATCGCTTCTCCATCATTTGCCCATTTTCCCTTATGAATAAGGGCAGTCTCGGTTGCAACTTGACTTCTTAATTTTGTTACCTCCCAACGATAAAGTCTTTTTGTTTTCTGTGCAAGTTTTGCTCAGACTGGAATGGACAAATCCATAAGATCCTCAAGCAGTGGGGATCTACCTGACGTTGCTGACTCTGCTAGCTCTTCTTCATAAACTGCTCTTCTCACTGCGTTATCGCGGTGCAAGTTGCACGTTGCAGCTTCCACCCCCAGGGCTGGCGTTTACCAACTGCGCTGGGATGGGATGAGCAGCAAGTACCAGTTACTTAAGGGGATGGAGGCAGGTAACAGATGCCTTGTTTTATTCTTGCTGGCAGATCAGTTAGCTCACATTAAAACAAAGACAAAACTGGTTCCTTATTTTTTTCACTGGCAAGTTGAGTATTTGGCAGGTCACACCATGAAGTTCAGTATTCACATACGAGAGCAGGTTTGCTTTAAAGAACTATTCCTTCACGTAGTGCAGTTCAGCCTCTCCCCTTTCCATCAGCACCAGGTGATATAATTCCATTTTGCACCAGCTGGATATATTTGGCTTGAAGGGAAACCTTTTCCCTTCTCGTTAGCTGTTGATGGGACAGTCCTTTAGCTCCTGTCTTCTCCCCCCACCCGCTCTCTCCCCAGGCTCCAGCTGGCCAAGTCCATCCTCGATCTCAAGCTGAGACCCAAGCCAGGCTCTTCTCTCCCAACCTCATACGCTGCTGTCCTCGAGCAGGGGCTCCTTCCCGTCCGATCCTCCGGCCTGCGGGCTGTGGCTCTGGGCTCCGTTGCTGTGTTTCTTGTGGCTGCCTGATCTCAGCACGAGGTTGTGTTCTGGGATGAACAAGGCCACCAGGAGCGACAGCAGGACGGAGCACGCCCCAAACAGGAAAGGAGGCCCCGGGATAATGCTGCTCTGTAGGGCAAAAACACAGCAATGGTCAACGCTGCAAGTGCAGCGGCAGAAACGACCGACGAGCTGAATGATAAAGCTGACTACGTTACCTCATCCGTAGGGTTGGCCATGTTTGGCTTGGGGGCTTTACCTAAAGTCTCCACCTCGGCCATTTCATTCAGCTCAACATGAAAGAGATAGAAGACGAAGCCGTAGAGAGCTGGTCCCAGTCCATTACACAGACCCCGAATTCCAGTGATCATCCCCTGAACGACACCTGGGGACAGAGCAAGGAAAGAAAGCAAAGCCTTTAGGCTTGCTGGAAACCCTCATTTTATTCAGACATGCTTATGTTTGAAAACAGGATCAAACCTCTGGGTCTGCATTGACAGGCACTCTACAGATGAGGTGCTTGCTGGTGATTTTCTTAGCTTAATAACAGGTTTCATAAACTCAGTATTGCTGGGCTGGCTTGCTGCTTTCTAGATAAGCTGAGCATGGGCACAAAGTGCAACAGTTTCCAACTGAGCTGAAATTTAAGGCAGTCAAACCCAAGCACGATCTGTTAGATCGTGAATCAGACAAATAATTATACAGCAGCCCCTCTGTTTTGAGCAAGAAACACTGAATACTTGTGTGTGTGCATAATTTAAGAATCAGGTACGGTCAAAGGCAAGACAGTGTCAACATCACTAAAAATATTTTATAGTTGACACAGATGTTTTTACAACTCTTCCTTAGCAATACTAACAGTTAAAACATTTCTCGGCCTAAATTCCTGCTTAGATGAACTAACCCATGAGACAAATCAGTAATTCTGACTTACCCTGTTGGTCAGGGTCGGCGTTTCTAGACACCATGGCACTAATGGCCGGAAACGTGATACTGGACATAGCAGCCACAGCTCCTGCTGCCCACATCATCCTTGGTAGGGAGAGAGGCAGAAATTAGAAGGCAGCAGCAACAGCAAGAGCAGACAAGCATCTCCCTCTGGTGGGGGACAGTGACATTCACGGAGCCACAGAGGTGGCAAGGAGCAGGAGACCTGCCAGCTCCCATTGAACTCATGTTGGCGACCTCTTACCATGGCTGGGATCCGAAGCCATACCAGGCAAGCTGCAGGATCTGGAAGCCTAATCCCAGTAAGATGGTGTTTTTGTTTCCTATTGAACGCATGAGAATTCCCAACACTATTGTCTGGAAATAAAAGAAAAATGTGTGCAGGGAATGTTGACAACGTCACAGAGAAGATGACAGCAATTAGAGAGAATCCTCGCCGCTGTGAAACTGTTCCATCAGGAACATGCTTTCCTCCATAGCATTTTGCAACAAAGCATTTTAACAAGGCTTCACAAGGGCCAAAGAGTGGCTAGGGATAAAGGCTTTGATCCATTTCTGATCAGTTATGGCTCACCAAACCAGAACTCCACCAATTCTTATTCAAACTGTCCTCTGAGAATTTAATTCCAGTGGTACCCTGCATAAAAAGCTTCTCTTGCTCATCTTTAACTCTTTTATACCACCTCCCTCTGTGTCTTTGCTCACTGAAGTACAGAACCATTTTTGCACATAAATGCTGCAAACTCCTCTGTCTAGTCATAAGAGTTAGACTGGGCCTATGTAGAAACACATAAAAGACTGCAGTGGTAACCCTGGTTCTAATCAAGGGCAGGAAAGAGAAGATCATGTAAATAAGCTGGTTAGAAACTGGCCTTTCCCTTTCTAGCAGGTTCAGAGCGCAGTGTGTGGAGTTTTACAGAGGGATACCCAACACGCAGAAGTTTACCAGTTTGTTATTCAAGAAAGAGTTAGAGTCACAGGTAAGAATACAGAGACCTTAGACACCTGTGCATGGAAATCATATTGTTGAGGCCGCCATCCTAGCCCTGATTATCAAATATTTAGAACATTCTTATAATGAAACTGCTACATTATAGACAGAAAATCCTTCTCACCTGGGCCAGGATAGAGAGAATTCCAACCACACCAATAAAGGCCGCTACCGTCTCTGAGGAAAAACCAATGACCTGTGAAATACCAGAAAGTGGTCACTAAGCTCCTGTACTTTTTACAAAAATTGAAATACGTCACTAGTTCTTCTAGCTTCAACTTTACTGAAGTTATTGGCTGAGATCAGGTTTTCCAGCATACGGAACTAAGATAATATTTTTAGACTGGGGTTTTGTATTCAGAGCCCTTCCCTACTGCTTGAGGCTGACCTGTCGCAGGTAGAGGAAGAAGCTGGAATACTGGCCGGCTTCGGGAAGGTAGGAGAGAAAGACGGTGATACAGATGAGCAGCACTGTAGAGTCCTGACCCACCTTCCGCAGGGACTGCAGAAAAGGAAAGACAAATAGAAGATAATATCCTTAAATATTTTCCAGGTATAGACAAAAACAAATGAAGTATTTGCTGCAGGAAGCAAGAGAAGTCTGCGACAGCAACACCAAACACTTCCACTTTGAACAGCCGTCATACCTGTTGACGCTGTTGTGTTGGCACTGCACACAAGACTGCTCTTGACACAGTACTTTTAGGTAATGAAACTTACATTCAAGCAATTGGTACATTTCTGACAAACTTGTTTCAGGCATCACACAGCTATCACACAGAGCTAATTAACACACAGCTAAATTAAAGATCAGAAGCTGCTAGACAGCTTTTGTTCTTTTTTATAAGCACAGCTTGTTATCAAATGGACACTGCACGTGTGGCAGGATTAAGCAGAATGCATCTTTCTTTTAAGAGAAGAGAGCAAAACCAAAGCAAACATAAGCATTATCGGCACGCAGAAAATAAACAGCAGCAAAGTTACTTACAGCAAAAGGGTCTGCTTGCTCCCAAGAGATGGGAGCTCCCCAGGAGACTGGGCGCATCTCTTCTGGCAGAGATTCTGGCACAGCCAGCAAGATGAAACCAATATCCAGTAAAGCAACACCTGAAGCGAGCACAACCACCAGGGTATCACCGTAGGCTTGGGAAAGGTACGCACCGATTGCTGGACTTGTGACCAGACTAGCAGCAAACGTGGCTGATACCTGGAAGCACAAAAAATTAACAGGGCCTCTTGCTAGAGCCTCATACTGTCCTACATCTACCCCCTAATTTTATAACTGTGCAGCCCCAGATATTTCCTTCAAGAGTCAAGACAGTTATTTAGCTCCTTACCAAGCCATACGCTGTGCTGCGTTCATGCTCCTGTGTGATATCAGCAACATAGGCAAAAATCACAGAAAAGGTAACAGCAAAGACTCCAGACATGGAAATGACAGCAAAATACCACCTGGAACAGGAGTTGCCAAAGGTACAGTTAGAGACCAAGCACATGGCACAGGCTGCAGCTGCCAAATTAGAACTTTTCCCACATTCTCCTTTCAGTCTGTACTCTTTAATTGCATCATAAATTGCTCAAAAACACTGAATTTCAGGCTTGGGCCTCCTAAGTTTTATGACTTCCATCCTTCCCATCTTCTCCCCAGCAAGGAAATGTTAACCTGCCTTAATAATGGTAATGTACATATTGGGGAAAAATAGGCACTAGAAGTATGAAATTTTTTCTTCTTCCCAAAACTAAACTATCTGCTAGAACAGAGTAGGGAAATTCGTTTCTAGGCTGATGAAAGGGTACATCCTCAGGCTCCTTTTCCACTGGACAATGCACTTCCATCTCATCCCCAAAGGCACCCCCAGCAAGTTGTCCATCATTCAGTTTTGGGCTGAATCCCCTCCTTGGAAACCCTCGGCTATGACACAAGTAAACTCACCACGGACTGATCTTCATGAGGGGAATTGGCGCACACGTGAAGAACACAGTGAGGAGGAGGAAGGATTTCCTGCCCCAAACATCAGAGAGAGCACCAATCAGGGGGGCACTTAGAAAGGAAAGCAGGCCCTAAGACGAGACAGACAAGATCAGAGAGAAATTGCTCAGGCAAATTCAGACTCAACAGCAAGAGCTTTTGGCAATATTGTGGAAAGACAAAGTGTGGGGAGGCAATCCCTTCCTATTTGCTACAAGTAGGAAATTACAGTTCATTAAACTGCTGATATCCTTTTACTGAGAAAAACTCGATCAGCTCAACACTGCTAAACACTCCAGCTATTTCCCTTTATGTGTCAGATACTATTTTACATTCAGCAAATGACATGGATTATAAGTTTGTCACTTCTTGCAGTTATTTCAGGTTCACAGGGAAGCCCACACATCACTAGACTTACCTATGGCATGTAAAAGCAAAAGAGATATTCCTTACCTTGACTCCATGAATCAGGCCATTCATCAAGAACGTATGCTGAGGAAAAGTCTGGTGTAACACCTGAAAAACAGAACCAGCAACTTTTAGCAATCCCCATTAAGTTCTACAAGCACCTGACAGCTAAATGCCTGTAAGGGCAACACACAGGGAAAATCCAAGCAGGCTACAGCCAATCTCACTGCTACACTCGCATAAGGAACTGGCTTCATCTCCCCACCGTGAGCAGCCACTTTCTCTAATACATGTCAGGTCTATAAATTATTCCACCGTGCTTGGGTCAGGCTGAGCTCACAGACGTATTTTCATAAGGCTGAGATAATGTGATACGTGCCTCTCTCCAACCCTGTCCCGTCTGTTTTTCCCTTGTTCTTTTCTGTTCTTCGCTCTCACTTTTGTACCCTCTCTACACTCGATTTGCATTTTACACCAGTAAGCATATTTCTAAAGGCCTTTGTATAATAACAAAGTCTCCTTTTGTGTCGTTACCTAGATATCAAATCAAAAACATGCATGACCCTTTAGTCTTTAATGTGAGCTGGTATTCCAGAAAATGAAAAAGACAGGAGAAATCTTCCTGAGGTTCCCAGGAGAGCTACTCACCGTTAGCATAGGAGTGGTCAGCAACCCCCAGGCAAAAAACTCCAGGAAAATCACCACCACCGCATGGTACACGCTGGGTTCCCCAATCCCCTGTCGCTGTAAAACACAGGTCCGTAAGCAACAACAACGCGTGAATTCGAGAGGAAAGAACCAGTTTGTGTATTTTGATAGCGGTGTGTGCAATATTCTGTCACCCCTGATTCCCCCCCTAAAAAAAACATCTGGGTATTTGGGAAGGCAGTTTTACTCCTCCGTGCTGACTCCATACATCCAGCATGGTGGGAAAGGCACAGTTGTTAGAGCAGCTAAAAAAATAACCCCCCTCAAGGCCTCGTTTATCTCTCTCTCTCATTAGAGACTTCTCAAGGCACTTCCAGGGTCACATTTGCTCTGTCACTTTTCTTGGTGCCAATCTCAGCCGCTGGCCATAAGGTTTCCTCTTGCCAGGCAGAGCATACCTGCAAATTCGCAAGTTCACAAGGAAAAGACATCAAAAGGCACTGAAAAAAATAGTCTAGTTTCAACCGGGCCACCTCAGAACTGCACAGACCAAATGTGCACAATGTGCTTTTCCACAAAAGCTGATTTCTTAGCAAACCATATGATCTGAATATACAAAAAACATACAAAAAAGTGTAGACAAACCTTAACAGTATTAGCCAAACCACTTGAGATACCTGTGAACTCAGCAATTTAGAGAGCTCCCAATGACTTGAAGAGTACCCAAACTTAAACACCTGTTAGCTGCACAATCCTCAAATCCAAACAAGTATTCCCCTGTCATTCTTTGCTATTAACAGATACTTAGGGACTCAAGGAATTTGGCCAGCCACAGCCTCCCAGGTTTTAAGACAGTAAAATTGCATTTGAGAACCTGATACAGCTATAGGTCTAGCAGAAATGGGAAAAGATGCAATGAGAAAAGTTACACAGCTGAAACCTTGTTTACACTCAGAATTATAATAAAATTGTCTCCCACAGACTTGCTGCAAGCCTGCTGAAAACAAAACAAAACAAAACAACAGCATCCACACAGGAGGCATCAACCCGGGGGAAATATGGTCATTAGTTGAAGTCAGTTTTATTGCATGCAAACAAAATAATGTTCTGTAGCAGAAGAAGGCCCAGGGTGGCATGAAGCCAGTAATTAAGAACAAACATCATTACCCACCTTACACACTGGCAGAAAAGAGCAGTCCTCTCGCCGTGCTTTCCTCATCCCTTCCTAAAGCCTCTCAACAGATCAACGTTTCTAACACTCGACCACAACAAAATCTTTTTGCAGCTCGGGTTATTTACCCTGATCAAATGCCCTAGCAAAGGGACAAGCCCGACAACGTGCAAGGCTCGTTGCACGGTTATTTAAGTAGCGGTAACACAACTGCTAATCAGATGTTGCATTAGGGCCTATCCACAGTCCAGGCTGACTCGTACAGCTACCAAGGCAGGGGGAAATAGCTGGAGTTGGATTTAAGGCCTTGTTTAACAAAACAAGGCACTGTTTTGTTATGTATTCCATTTTTCACCTTCTGGTGCTGCCTTCTCCGTCATGACCAGTTTTACACTAAGCAGCTTCTCTGACACCACAGGTTGAAATACCAACAGTCACGTCACACAGGAAAAAAAAAAGTACAAAATAAATTCACTTAGAGAACTGACACCGATGCAGATTTTCTTGTTTTGATCACCTGCGTGGACTGTTAACAGTCAGACATGGAAAGAGCCTGAGAGGTAACAGCCCCCTGGCTGCTGCTGCTGCTTCCTTGCACGGCAGCCCCCTCCATCTACCTATTGTTTACAGGAACACCCGGTTCCGCCTGTAGTTCACCTGAAGACCCCCGTGCGAATCCCCTGTTTGGCGCCCTGGGCATTTACAGGTGGTGAAAATGTAACTGCTGTTATTTTGCAACCCTTTGAGTTCCAAACCGCACAGCCTAAGCCACAGGAGTTAAACTGGCCTAGAGCAACCGGGCTCTTTCTGGAGGAGGTGCAGAAGTTCAGACCTGACCCGTTCACAGCCTGACGTCCCACCTGCCACCCTGCTTGTCGTCTGGTTGTGCTACTAAACAGTTTGGGGCAGTTTCTGTCCTGCCCAGCGCTCCCGGCCGCTCTGCCGGAGGAAGGGC